GACCTGCATGGAGAAATTGCACAACAGACATCCCTTGAAATTCAATGAAGGAAAGCACGGAATGGGAAACCATTACGTTACACATAAGTCTGGGCTGGAGGCTAAGCATCTGGAAACAGCTTTGTGAAGAAGGATTTGGAACCCTGGAGGGCACCACTTGAAAAATAAACCATCAGTGTATATATTCCCTGAGGAAGTCAGGGAATATAAAATACAGAGACTCTTTTAATTGCCCACTGACAGAAAAAGGCACAACAGACAGGAACTGAAATACAGGACATTGGACTGAAACATAAGAAAAAAATCTTTGCTCTTTAAGAGTGGTCAAATCATAGAACGGGTTGCCCAGAAAAAGGTTGTGAAGATACCCAAAACTCAACCGAAAAATATACTGTATCCTGCTCAGACTGACTCTGCTCTGACCTGTAGGGATGGCCTTGTCAATCTTCAGACAGACATAATGATATCCCTTCAGTGAACCTCAAAAAATCTGTCATCCTCTGGTATTTTGGATGCCAAATTCTTACATATTTTTCTAAACCTTTCTATTTCATGCCATTTACCTCTCTTTTTCCTGCAATGTTTACCCTAAATTATGACATCATTTCTGATTGCTTTCTCCCTCCTTTCACTTTGAAGTCCAAGACCTTGCCTGAATGACTGTTCTCTCCCACTACAACTGCTCTCAATTTCACAATTATCCCAGCTGTACTGAAATTGCTATTTCAGGAATGAATTTCATCTGCTGACCAGAAATATCGTACCACATCTTAGACAAAAATTAAAAAAAAAAAAAAAACACAACAAACATTAAATCTTATGTCTTCACCAATTCTGTTACCCATATATGGTTGGTATTTGAAAAAAACACAACCCTTTTCCTTCTAATCCATCCCTCAGTGTTTTCATTTTTTGTGATGCCTTTATCACTTGAACACGTTTATGTTACCACTCCTTTAAACACCTGCCTGTTACATTTACAGTGTCTGCTCCTTAGGTTTTTTTCCTCGTCCTATGTGAAACTGTAAGCTATTTAGGACAGGCACCAGTATTTTGTTCTCTGACAGCACAGGGGTCTCTTAGCTGTTAAGACTGTACTAGTGATAGATGATCTTGTCTGTGCCTTGGCCCAGATACACACTTTTTCTGCTTATCACATTTCTGTCTGTTTTTAAGAGCTGTTCATTGCATTTAAGTACGTGGGATCCAAGGCACAGCGAATAACACCCAAAAGCAGCATTTAAGACTTTGCCATACTGGTGGCTCCTAATGCGATCTTTTTCCCCTTTGAAAGGTCTATTCCTTCTTTTCCACTGATACCAAATAATAGAACTCATACTGAATTCTCTGCTGAATAAATACAAATAATATAACTCATACTGAATTCTCTGTTGAATAACTAACTAACTAAATAAATAAATAAATGCAGGCCAAAATCTTCACGACTTAATTTGTGATAATGTGGTCATGGAGTGTTCTGCTTAACTTCACATAGCTTTGGAAAAGATTAATATTTAGTCATATGCAACAACTAGAGGGACATAATTTAAATGGATATAATACTGCTGATACAATCTATTTTCCAAAAATCCAAGTGCAGGACAATAACTTTACTGGACATGTATTTTAATTAGAATGATAGAATGCACTCTATCTAAATATATTTTGACAAGTGCTCTAAAGTATAAATCCTTACAGCTGAAGATACGAAGCAGCTTTTTGAAGAAAACCTTTTCAGAAATGAAGAGCAATTTGCAAAGCTATCAAAGATGTTTAACAATTTCCTATCAGGGAATATGTATGCATGTGTGTAAATATATAGCAAAAACATGCATTTTTATTGTCACACCTGAACTGGAGAATCAAGAAATAGTGAAATCTGGTTTGTATAATGCCATAAAGTAGGCTTCTCCTTGTAATGCTCACATTTTCTGTTTTTTCTGTCCTGACTAACTGTGTAACATAAAAATTGGTAAATACTGATGAAAGAAGTATGTTAAATAGTAGATAGCATAAAAGTTTCTCACATCTCAAGAATGGCATTGCCATTATATGATGTCTTCATGATGTTTAATTTCTCAAAAACTTCTCAAGTTCAAGCCTTCTAATAATTCCAAAAGTTAGTCAGCAGGAAAAAAAAAAAATTAACAACATTCACAGAATGAGCAGAAAACCCTCATATTTAATGTTTTCTCTTTAACACATAATTTAAACACCAGCAATCCTGTGTGAGAGGTTTTAAGGAGTTAGATTATATTGTGAGCTGCACAGTGTCAATAACACATGCTGGCATCACATCTAACAAAATAGTCCCAGAATAAGAAACATCACAAATTACAGCTTTAGCCCTTGAATCAGTTTGTATACTATGTGATTTTTTTCACAATCCTTTATTGCATAGCAGCACAGATTTCCTGATGACATTTTGTTTACTGTAGCTGCTAAGGGCACACAGAACCAGTGATCTGAAGCCCTGACCAATATGCTGTGACTGACATGCAATTCAGCATTTAACCCGTGCTGTAGATGATATATAAGAAGTGATATGTACTCAACCCTATCCTCAGTCTATTTGGGATAAACTATTAATCTTCAGCAGACAGTTTTAAAATATTGTAGAAAAATCTTTTGTTCCAAATGATCACAAGTACATGGACTTAGTAACTTTCATCTAGTTACAAAAGATTAATTTATGAATTATATTCATTAGTACAACTATTCCCTGAGAGTTGCATACTACTATCAGGATGTTTGACTTTTACAGTGATAATTTCCAAATGTAGACACTAACTATTGCACTAAAACAGTGCAATATATTCTGCTGGTCAGAATCATTTTGCCCTTAAAAGTTCTATCAAGCTAATACAGGACATAAGAACAACCAGAAAGGAAATAAAATCCAATTTAAGAAATTTTTGACTTTTCATAGTAGACAGAAATTTTCATCCTTTTGGCTACCCAATTTTTTTTCCCCTCACCATGTATACATTCTTGACAAAAGATAATTTATGCCAAGGATTTTATTCTGTTGCCAGTCATATCAATGCTGACCTGTAAGAACTGCATCTGGATAGAACTGCCTACCTTACTTTGAATGCAACTGGTTGAATAGGGCTTTTGGCAGCTGTTGAATATGGCTCTCAATAATTTAAGAAATTGTAAGATTGCCAGTTAACAAAAATATGTAACTTTTAGAACCCCATTAGGGTCAGTGTTTCTAACACAGAATAAATATATGTATTCATATACATAAACATATGTTTACAAACATTCTATGAAATGAATCCAGGAATTTGCAACCACTGAAGAAACTCCAACATAGGCCACTGCTTGTGAGTGCAGTGGGATTTCTGATATTTTCTTACTTATGCTGATATGAAAACTGATCTAGACTACTGACCTTGGATACAGGACAGTTCATATATCTTGTCAGGGATCTAATGCAAAGCTTGACAGAAAAACTCAGATTGGTTTTAAGGTACATTGGAAAATCCTTCAAAATTACACAGCATAAGATGAAAGCTTTTGAATAATACAATTTAAAGCTTTAAAAGGTCTTCCTTTTCTTCACTTATTTTCTTCAACCACTAGATAGTATTTGGTAAACAATAAATCACTCTTTCACACAACATCCTCCTTCCTGTTCTGAATATCTCAACAAGTAACATCACAAGGCACTTTTAAAGCTATTTGTATATTTACAAACACATATTTCCCCAACTAACTTTTGACATTTTTCCTATTTTCTTATACCTAATTTCTTTCATCGCACAAAATCATCTCAGAATATTTTCCTTTCTTTTCTTTGTGGAACAAAGACAAAAACAATGTAGCAAATATTTCTTAAAGCCATCATAATTATGTTATAAATCTGCATAGGGAAAAGAAAACACTGTCTGTAATAGTAAGTTATAACTAAAATATATTTATAGAGAGAGACATAGAGCTATCTGTCTATAACAAACATAGTGAAGATGTGCCTTCAAGCAAGTACTGCATGTGCTTGCAAGGTACTTTCCTGTTGTATTAGAGTTGGTTACTGTACATCCATTTACAATGCTGAACTTACTGGATCAGAAGTGGTTCCAAATGAGCCATTTTCAGCATCAGTAGGTATGAGGTATGTTGTTATATATATCAGGAATCTGATGTTTCACAACTTTGGGGTTTTTCTCCCGTGGTTATTTTTGTCTTGGTTGGGGAGGGGGATTGATTATGGCTAAATATACAAACTTTATGCCTTTATACACAAGAGCAGTCACACCTTCTGAGACACTAGACTACCTCTCAGTGACCTTATAATCTTCCTTTGAAATTTCCAACAATAGCTGCCTATTTAAAATGCCATAACAACCAAATCCTGCTGACTAAAAAATATGTAGATTTCATTTGAAAAGGAGTAACTTTTACCCACACAATAAATTAAACAATATTATTTCAGTATGAAGACTCTTTTAAGCAGAATAATTGGTATCAATAGCACTTACCTGATTGTGAGGAATAGAGGTTATACAGGTCTTTTCCATTTCAAAACCATGCAATAGCCATTTAAAAAAAATAATGCAATGTTCGAAATTTATGAAAATTAGGTTTTTACTGCAAATGATTTTTAAGAGGCTTCTAGACACAAATAGTGCAATTTTTCACATTGTGGTTAAAAGAAATGTGCCATATATAATTACTGATAAAGAGATAGTGCATACAGACCAGGAGGTTTCGATCAGTTGATATGTTAATCAAGTAATGAGTACTGCATTCCGTCATAGAAAGAATGTCAAGCCTCTTTCCACTAAGAGAAATCAGCTACATGACTATCAGACTATCACCAGCCTACTGAAAGGACTTAAAGAAATCAATATCACACAGAAAGATGGATCGAGCATGAATCAATGTGGCAAGCACATAACCAAACAGACATGGAATTAAACAAGAAGAAGAAAAAAAAATATAAGCCAAATCAAAACTAAACCAAACGAAACCAACAAAGATTGTCGCTTAACCTGTTTTGTCAGAGCTGGTATTGATGGTATTGGTAGTGATGGAAGTGAAGGTAGTCTTTGCGCTGTCCTTGGTAGTAACAGATTTCTGCTTATTTTTCATGGCTTCCAGTGCTTTGAGCTTCTTGGCATGTTTAGTGCCTTTGTAGTGGGCCGCAGCCTGGCTCTACAAAGGAGAACAAAATGAACCATGCAATCAGGCTCATTTCTAAACTGGCATTCTCTGTATTAGTACAAATACAGACTACCTTTCAATAATGGGTACCACTTACATTATCCAAGTAGTGACCAAACAGAAAATTATAATTAGAATGATGCTTGGAAAACGACGGAAAAAGTACTAGAGCCACACAAATTCAATTAATACAGTATATTACTGTATAACAGTAGATTAATTTCACACCAAAATTAGGTTGTTTTAGTCTACCTTGCTACCATTCGTTTTTCTATTAAGATTTATACTGCTTTCACATTAAAAAAAAATCTCAGGCAACGGGGAGAATGACATTCTCCTCCTGATAGCTTTGTACTTTTCAAGTTTCTATTTCAAACTAGAATTTTTATAAAAGCTTCCTTCAAAGAACAGTTTACTACTGACAGTGGTATTAGCAACTTCTCAGCAGACTGACAGTAAAAAAACAAACCAAAAATACCCCAGCCCAAAACTAAAGCCCAAACAAAAGAAAGCAAAATATAAAACACACCCTTCAAAGCCCATAAGCAGAGACTTAACTGGATGTGAGGCAGACATGGAATTATCTGGCTCTTTAAAAATAAAAAAAAAAAAAATTTAAAATAGAGAATTACTTTTGTTCACCTGCTACAAAAGCTAGTGTTTGAAATTCAAAGCCAGGAGCATCCTTTCAAAGCAGAAAGCTCCCACAAATCCTGTCACAGTTCCAAATACATTTTGGCTACTTCATATTGCTAAGCTAAAATAGATTTGTATATGCACTACTATTAAAATTCATGCATTACATTACAAATAACTTTATTATTTTATGAGTTACTACCAAATTTATTAATTTAATATATGTGCAAGAATATTTTAAGATTAGTATTTTAATTATTAAACTTTATACAAAAAACACTAGAAAATTTGGATGAATATTCAGAATTTTTTTCTTCACTAATTATTTAAAGTCTTATAAGAAAGACAGTATTTCAATTGATAAGTTGACAAAATGAAAAATTGCTTATATCTTTTCTTTTGAAATTCAAACTTTATGGAAAGTATCTCCATTATTACTTGAAAGAGAAGTTAAGACTTCACAAAGGTAGTCAAAATTTAGCTATTACAGAACCGAAAAAAATTAAAAGCAACAATTCTAGGTCAGCTCAAGGACCCATAAGGTCAGTATTTTCGTTTTAGAAAATGTGAAACAATAGAAGATACTTAGAACATAAAACAAAGGTAGATGCTTTCTATTGTGGAATCAAAATAATAAAAAAAAATATATATATGGAATTTAGTGACTATAAACCTAAAGCATCAAATGGGATAAAAAGACACAGTCATTCCCATCACTAAGCTGCTCATGCAGGTAGAAGAATCCTGTATTATCTGGCATTTATTAGTCATTAGACCGTTATTGAATGCTATTTGTTGTCCTAAATTTTGGGGAGAAGAGTTCCAGTGATTAACTATAACTCTAAGGATACATAGAGGGAATTATCACTTTCAGCTTACATGAAAAGTCTTGATTCCTTCCAGATGCCTGAGATTTGAAAAGTGTAAGGTGATTAGGAGCCCTTGTCTAAAACCAATTCACAATATATGTGTAAATGTATACATGTGTAGATGTACACACACACACACTCTCTTGGATATTGAGATGCATCATTCAGTTTGGTTGAAAGCCAGTTTCTCTATACCTAAAATAATGTAAATCTTGTATTAGGTACCCTTATTGAAAGAACACTGGACAGTGAAGTATTTAATTAGAAACAACTTGAACAGAAACAGCACAATCATGCACCTTTTACAATTCTCAACACATAACATTGAGACATACTGTAAGCTAAATACAAACAGTCAGAGGATGTGAATTATAATCAAACCAAAAGACCAGTGTTAAGTTACAATGATGCATTAAAAATTACATAGTACTTTACACCCCTGTGTCGCTATCATGTCAACTATTTTTAGAGTTTCTAGTCAAATGAAATTATCAGTGAGCTTCAGATTCTGACTGCGCTTTTCCCCTTAACTAACAGTGTCACTAGTCAAACATCTGAAACATATTCACAACGTGGTCCTTAATACTTAACTATGAATGCTGATATTAGTTTGATATAAATCCCAGCTTTCTTAACAGAATTGTTGGCAGACTTTTATTATTCTGTTTATTATTTATTATTATTAAGTTTAATTATTCTTCATCCACAGCTCTCTCCAAATTCTCTCAGCTTTAGTTCCACAAACCTCATCTCAAGTTCTATGTTGGATGCTGAAGGAATATATAATGAGGACCTATGCAGAAATTGGTGACCTTTTCACTGCTCTGAAATATATGAATGAAATTGCTCTAAAGTGGAAACACATTGCTAGAATTTACAGGTATGATAGCTGCTACTCAGAGCTTTCCATAACTCACTTCCCACAGAGTGCTGCCAGTCTACCCAGCCTCTATTTAAATAAGGTCTTCAAGTCTTTTTATGTCAAAGTTTAAATCTCTTTCCTCTGCGGGGACATGAAGCCCTCTAAGCTTGTTTCAATATAACTGTAGCTGGCATGTTAATGGGAGTTCTATGTGAGAGCAAACAGATTGCTCCTAAGCCTTTAACCAGCTCCAAATTAGATTGTGCTGAACTTTTACAACTGAACTGAAACCCTAATTAAAAAGACCAAAAAAAAAAAAAAGAAAAAAGAGTTCTGTCATTATCTTTCCATGCAGGAGTAAGATGAAGGAGATGCAAAAATGTCAATAAACATATCTTTCAGGAAAGCAACATAAAATATGGTACCTCACTGAACCATTTCTTGCAGCCATAAGAGGACCAAATCATCGTTACTGCTTAAATGGCTTTTACTTGTAGCATATAAAATTCGTTGCTGAAAGAGTATTTACTTGTAGGATGAATACATAAGCGAGATAGATCATAAAATATAATTACTCCCAACTTTCATGCTGAATTAAGCAATAATAAGAGACAGCAGAAGAGTGAAAAACAAGTTAAGTACTAGTATTTCCTGCTAGCCATGATGCTTAACTGACTGAAGAGACTGTATCATTTCAGAAAGGTGAGAAGAATTTCCTTCTGGAACACTTTTACAAAAGAATACATTAGAGGAATACTTTAGGAATGAGATTACTTTCTTTCTTCACTACAGTTTCCATGTTTGATGCACAGAATTAGCCCTAGCACTGCACAGATAAGTGACTGTCAGCTAACACCAGTCGTGAAGCATGAGAAATACATAAAATATTGCTGGTGTAATGTTATAGAGAACTTTGGGAAACAAAATCCATTCTTGAAAAAGATGCCCAAAATGAAGGTAAAAAAATATTTCTTTATTATTTATTATAATGATATATAACTATGCAAGATATAAATAATATTAATCTAATAATATTATATAACTAATATAATTATATAAATAAATAATTTAATTATAATAGTTTTTATTACTACTTTGTACCTTAGTTGAAAACTCAAGGATCCTTAAATAAAATTTGAGGACCCTGATCCTAAAAATTACATGTAGACCAACCTTGGTCTGTGGGAACTACTTCAATGAAGTGGCAAAATGTCTGCTAGCAAATCACTTTTCAATGTCATTTGTAACAACTTCCTACTTATTTGGGCAGTACAAGTCAATTTAAGCATCTCCTAGTCTTTTCATCTGGTTCCATGTACCAGTGTTAAATAATTAGGGACCTTTCTAAGCCACATATTCTATAACCTTGACAAATTGCTCAAATATAAAAAAGGATTTGTCTATAAAATCTGTCTGTATATTTATGTTATAACCACACAAAAAGATAAACATACTACAAAACAATAAAAATACTGTATGCAGATGTGAACAGTTAGAAAACAGACCCAGAGTGTAAAACTCGGCTGTATTTTCCTTGCTTAAGTGCAGCATTGTACCACAATCAACCATCACAACATCATATTATCAAGCAAATTGAAATGTGTAAAATACATTGAGAAAGATGAAATTAGATCTAGATTGTCCGTTTTAAACAATCCAGACAGTATTCTTTTGCAATTACAGTCAACATATCTACATGGCAGTCTTCAGTATAAGTTTGTCTGCCTGACTAATGTATTTCACTGGATTATATGCCTTCTCACTTATGTTCTTTAGGCAGTGGTCCAACAAAAACATTATGCTTAGTTTTTGCATCAAGGAAAAAAACAGGTCTTGTCCTATTCTCAGAGAATTTTTAACTCTGCAGCACTGCATCTTCTTTTTCATATCCCTCCTGATCCACGTCATGCTACCATTCTTCTTACAGATTGTTTTCCTGCCTTAATCACTCCCTCTAGGCGACACCTTCATAATCAAGGCCAGTTCAAATAAAATAAACCTTTTGCAGAAGGTGTAGTGGATGTGTTCCACTGATTCTTTCTTGCAAAATTAAATCCAACTATCTTGCATTGTGTCTTTCTCTTTTCACAATGCGTTTTGAAAGATGTCTTTTGTTGGTAAGGCTCCATGCTTTTACCTGCCTAACTAGTAGCAAGGCTACAGCATGCCTGCACCTTAAGAAAGCACAAAATTGAGAGGGTTGAGAGTGCTGGAAAGTCTATTCTGTCTGCCTGGGACTTCAGAAGTTCATGCCATCTTTTTTTTCTTTTTTTCCCCTACCAGCTAATGGATGTTACCCCCACCTCTGTTATTATTCACAATACAATAGTAGTAATTTTGGCTAATACAGAAACTGATGTCAGGATTCTCCAGACCAAAAAGCTCTAAAACAACAACAAAAAATTAGATTCCCAGTTCAAACTAATACTGTCAGTGAGCTGGGCACACATGCATAGTGATAATACATAACTGCATAAGCCAAGAAGGCTTCTGTTCTTGATGAAGTCAGGGAAATTGCTTATGAGAGGTCTATCACACACTACCATAACTTCCAAGTACAAATATTTTCCTATAGTTGGGCTGTCAATAAGTATTTGAAAAATAATTTTACTGGTGTCCTAAGC